TGATCACATTAAGGGAAGGTTGTGATTTTCTTATGTTGATATCCCTGTTGCCTAGGAAAAATCATGCAAATAGAAGATATTCTGTCAACATTTGTTGAATTAATATAGGATGGACTAAACTAAGAGGGTCAGAAGGCAGGTGTTTTAATTGAGAAACCAATTTAAAAGACTCAGTCTATTTGTCTTATATTTAGGCTTTCATTAGTTTTTAACTGATGACAACTAAGGGAGGATAGTGGGACCAGTGAGAGAAAGAGAGAACATAGCGTTTGGAAGAAAAGATTAGGTAACATTAAACAAAAGAAAGTTGGGGTAGCAATAGGAACTGCCCCACAGACAAGTAGAAATATAGATCTGGAGGTCAAAAGATAACCACACAGTGACAAAAATGCTTGTATCTTGGAAATCTTCTTCTGTGTAGAATTTTGAAACCATGATACATAGCCTGCAACAAACAGCAGATGTAGGGGCCAGCCCGGGTAGCATAGGGTAGCATAGTGGTTAAGTTCACCCGCTCCGCTTCAGTGACCCAGGGTTCACGGTTTCGGATCCCAGGTGCGGGCTGACGCACCACTTATGGAGCCATGCTGTGGCGGGGTCCCACGTAAAGAAGAGGAAAGATGGGCACGGATGTTAGCCCAGGGCCAATCTTCCTCAGCAAAAAGAGGAGGATTGGCAACAGATGTTAGCTCAGGGCTAATCTTCCTCACACACAAAAAACCAAAAAACAAAAAAACAGCAGATGTATAAGGAATAGACATCCAATAATAGAATTTTGGTGGACATCTATATGGCAGGTGAGGAGAGGAAGAGAACCTAAAGAAGGTGAAAGAGAAAGAACAATTAAAGAAGTAGAAAAAGGACTAAGAGAGGTCAACACAAAAAGCAACGGGAAAGATTGGCAAAGACTTCTGTGATATAGAGAAAGAAGGTGGAGGAGATTTATATCAAATGGCTTTGACCTTCATGGTAAACCATAAAACAAATTTATATCTGAAGAGTAAGAGAAGACAGGAGTGAGATTTAGTCTTGAAAAAAGTGGAAAGATTTGAAATACACTTTTCAGGAAATGTAATAGAAAGTCTATTAGAAATGACCGAGGGTTTGACTGAGCAGCATGGAGAACACAGCTGGGTTTACGAAACATGCATTTGGATGGCCTTAAATCGCCTCACTTTAGTATTTGCAGTCTAGAAGTGGGGGTGAGAAAGTGAATAAACGTCCTTCCTTGGGTCAGAACTTACCCATGCAAGGGGTTAGGGGATGAAAGGACAGTAGATGGAGAGCACTATGAATTCTACCTAAACCGTTCTTTAATGCCTGACTCTGAGATGGAAGCTAGAACGAAAGAAAAGGGAGGCTAGGAAGGGGCTGATTGTAATGGTGGGGATCTAGACTCTGAATTAGAGGAAAGACAAACTCATTAAGAATTGAAGAATGGGAGAGGAAAAGATAAGAGTAGGTGGTCAAAGAAGGAACTTTTAGATGTAAAGATCAATTTTTTAATTCAATCTTTTAAATCAATCTATTAATATAAAAAAAGTTTAAACCACTTTGACAGATAAACACTTCTATCAGGTCTCCAGATCGCTCCACCCAGCTCTGTCCAGTTGATGCTTCTTTTATCCTCTTCCATCAGGCTGTTCATGTCTGTCTCTTGTCATTTACATACATTCTTGCAGGCATTATCTTTCATCTTATTCAATCTCAAGAGCTCCTACAAAAATGTATCTTTAGTTCTGACCCTTGTAACGTTCAATAAATTCATGTTAGTTATTGTCTTTCTATGTTTTAAAATGTTTACTAGGTGTCCAGTGTTACAATGTCTAATCATAACACTGAAATTCAGAACTCTCCAGTACTTAACAAAGAAAATAATTAGTCATGCAAATTAAAGTTATGAGATTAAGACCTCCTCAATCAATATATTGTATATACATCATGTATCATTTCATCTGAAATAATCTGTAAATCGTAGCTATTCAGATAAAATCTTACAATATACAGCAAGATTAGATTACCTATGTTTTTTAAGAGTTAAACAACATGGTATGACCTGATGAATAAATGAATCAATGATTCATTATCTGATTAGCCAACTTTGACAAGGAGAGGCCAGTTCAATATAATCCTAAATGTAACCAGTTAATTGTAACTTCCCTGCATTTAGTCAGCTGCAGTATTTGGATTGGAGCAGCATCCACTACTCCATTGACTGGACTGGCTAGCCTTCCACAGCCTGCTAGTGTCCTTTCCAGAAGAAAGAATAATAATTTAATGTTTCCATTAATAATAACATTATTATTACCATAACAACAATAACTATCATTTCTTGAGTACTTACTGTGGTTCAGTCGCTCTGCTCTGTGTTACGTAATTCACATACTTACCCCAGAGATATGTCTAACTGCCCACTTTATAGATTGCAAAAAGAAAGAAAAACTCTGAAGGTCAATCTACCCTTATAGAAGGGGCCTTCTTCAAACCATAGTATATAATACAAATATCAAAGGTAAGCTGTGAATGAAGCTGTAAAGTTGATTTTAAATGCTGTAATATTCTAAAATGTAGCCTGGATCAAACTTTCAAGCATAATGTTTACTAATTAACAAGTAATTAAAAACAAGCAGTGTAATCTTTCTGGAAAAAATGGCTATTTTTTCTGGAAAGAATGTGTTTCAATTTTTCAAAAATACTAAACTATATTTCAAGACAATGAACTGTCTACATCAGATATGTTGCCATAACAACAACAACATATCCACAGTTATAACCATAGTACTAGTTGTACCTTTTATGGTAGAATCCTCAAATCATTTTTCCAGTTATAAGACTTACAGTCATAGTTTGGACATCATTTTTATACAATTAGTTTCAAGGAAAATAAGATGATACCCAACTTTTTCTTTTTTCTCAGTTATTGCAAATGTGAGTGAAATAGCTTCCCTCTTCCCACACAACAGCCTCTTCACCCACATCTGCCCAAAGAGAAAAGAAAGGGGGAGGGGAGGTGGCAGAGAAGTGGGAAGGGAATGTGTTCTCCTTACATAACTAAATAAGGGAGGGCAGGAAGTGGTATATGCAACAAGAGAAGCATTTTCTCCTTAGATAAATGATTTTCTCCATCTCTCACACAAAAAAGGAAAATGGGTTTACCGTTGAATTCCTGTTGACCGCATCTTCCTGTGTTGTTCATCCTCTCAAGGGATCATAAATTTTAGTTGGCATTTCTTTACATCCCATTTTTTTCATCTAATTTGGTTATTTTCAACTTTTCAACAGAAGATCAAGCATTTAGACCTTAGGAAGGTTTTGTTTTAGAAAAATATCAGTCCATTAGCTTAAAATAAGTAAGCACAAGTGAACAGCATTGATGTTTTGGAAAACAATAACTTTATATAATCCATTGACTGCTCAATGCCTTGAAAGATGACTTTTGAGTATGCATTTATATATTCATTTTTAAATTGTTATTTGCACACATTCTGTGCAATGCTTCTCCACTATCGTATGAACCCATAACCCTCTGATTACTTATTCTGTGTTGATATTGCAATTGTGATGGTGGTGTTTAGATGTAATTATTAATATAAGTAGACAAAAACCATTAGTGTAGACGTAAGCTATATAGAATACTATGATACTATTAAATGTTATAATTCTATGTTTTTGTTATGACAACATATCTGACATGGATATTGCATTTTCTTGAAATATAATTAAGTACTTTTGAATTTGAAATATTTATATTGAGATAGTCATTCTTTCCACCAAGATCAGACTGTTTTTAATTACCTATAAATTAGTAACATCATGCATTTTAAGTTTATTTCAGACTAGTATTTTAGATTATTAGAGCATTAAAAATCAATTTAAAAGCATTGATTCCTAGTTGACCTTTGGTATTCTTATTATAAAAGACTATTGTGTCTCAGTGACTGAAAGCAGATATTTATTAAATAACACGAGACTTTCAGGGCAAGATGATATAATATTCTTAATCTTAAAAAACTTCTAGAAAATGGTTAATGAAACCAATTACTAAAATAATATATATTTATTAGAAAAACTGTCATAAATGTTATATAAATATATTACTTATATCCTTAGCTAAGGACTATTAAATATGAGTCATTTTTGTATTTTGATCTTATTAATAAGAACTGAATAGTGGATGAAGCTCAGTCAATAAGTAAAGTTCCCAGTAGAGACTCTCTCTAATTAAATTTCCTTTTCCGCTTGACTTCTAGCCTGTACTGAGCTCTTCCCGTATAAAGCTTAATTTCAAATCTTATTCATTTTTCTTCTTTTATTTGTGTATCATCTGCCTGATAGTTTAACTTCAGGGCATTAAATAAAAAACAAAGTTCACCTCCCTTTTCTTTCTGGGTAGTTAAATTGGGTCAGAGGCTCTTTTCTACTTTCTAAATCTAATTATTTTAAGAAAATTTTTTTAAATAAAATTTTCTAGGAGCTCTTCAATGTAAAGCCACAGAAAAACAGTACTACCTACTATTAACATTTTAAACCTCCATACTGTATTTTTATATTTGAATTTGTGATCTTCATCTCTTCTTCCTCCAAAAATGATTTACCATTTTTTTTAAAACTTTCCCATGCAATGTAGGTAAGAACATTTTAGAAATTTTTCATGAACATTAATGTAATTGTTACCAATTGGAGGTATTACATGATCAGGTCATTTGTCCTTTGAGTTAATGTTCTGGAAAAGTTCTAGAGAAAAATAAGATTTAAGAAATTAAGCAAAATATAAAAAGTATTCAATTAGAAATTGCTCTACAGATTTTTCCTTTAGTTTTGTAATCTTGTGAGTCACCTCAAATCTAGTATTGTCTTTATGATTACTTTTTCACCAAATGCAATATTGACATTTGTTTGGAGGAAATGAAGACTTGCTTAGCTATACTTGGAGTCCATTTGGTTACTAATGGTGCTGATATTCTCATTCACATATTGCAATCTTTTTTTTTTTTTTGCAGTTTTACTAAAGGGAGGAAAAAAAGAGGAAGAGAAACCATTTAGAGACTGTGCAGATGTATATCAAGCTGGTTTTAATAAAAGTGGAATCTACACTATTTATATTAATAATATGCCAGAACCCAAAAAGGTAAAACCAGAAGTGTTTGTTTACGAGATGTAAAGCAGATCCTAGTTGCATTGCTGAATAATCAGATTGATTTGTGAGCTTGTTAAACCGAAAATATATATGCCTGAGCTCTTTTCTCCCAAAGATACTCTGTTTCCCAGGTCCATAAAAGATGAAAACCCTATTGTACAGACCGCCCCCACCCCCCACCTCCCATCCCTCTTTCACACAAAGTTTTCTATTTATTCTCTGCTCATTCCTGGGATGTTCCATTGCTCATAAATGCTTGCCTTGTACAGATTACGTGTTGAGGTCACATGTACTTCAAGTGCATGGGGAAGAGTTCGGAGCCATCTTCCAAAGTCCCAAGGACCCAGATGGCACACATCATCTACAGTCCAAATACTGTGGAGAGGAAGCCAGGGACATATAGCTATTTGCAGAATCACTGCTCCTATTAGGGTGGGAGAAACCTATCTTGACTCACAATCTTGAAAGGATGTGCTTTTCATATTTACCTAAAAGAGTGGGTTGGAGGATAGGATTTATCAGTCTGTTGAACAGGATCCAAAGTAAACTTTGAAGTAAGCAAACAGTATCTTCCTGCTGTCACATCTCTTTTATATACTCTTTCTCCCTATTTATTCATTAAATCATCCATCCATTCCTTCATTCAGTACATATTAAGTGTATGTCATTCATTTGTCATTCACTGGCTAGGGACACAATATAGAATAAACAGGTCCCACTGTAGTGATGAAGACAGACTATTTATACAGATAATTATTACATGCTGTTAGAAGTGTAGTGATAGAAACAGTCTGTTTAAAACAGAATGTATGGAGAGCCTTGAGGAGAGCGCTGCTTTGCAATATGTAAAAGCTTTAGCTAGAGGCCCAAGGCCCCAAGAGGACCACCTGCCCTTGCAGTGCTCTATCGTCAGAGGATGAAACGATTTTCCTCCTCTCTTTACCCACCTAAATTACTAGTCCCATGTCCCCATTTCCTCTGGGTACTGTGCAAATGCTCTTGGAAAGCCTTCTCTAATTCCCTCCAGCAACTTTGCATGACTTTCTTACTACCAGACTTCTATAAGGCAAGGATTGTGCCTTTTTACCTTTGATTTCCTGGGATCCAGCATGGTTTGTGGCACATAGTAGGTCCTCAGTAAATATATGCTCAAATGAATGAATAAATGACCTGCCGATGATAACATCAACACTTCTGTGTACTATATAGTAAGTAAACCTGACTGACTTAGTCTTCTTGATCGTTAGTCTCCTTTGACGGTGAGGGAAATGAATCTCGGAGACCAGTTTGCCAGAAGTCACATAATTGTCAAGAGGGAGAGTCTGGACTCTACCAGCATTCTTTCTCTGCTGATTTCAATAAGGATTACTAGTTTAAGTTAGCTCAATGTTTTTTTCCAGTTGCTGGAACAGAATTTTCTTCTAAAAAGAGGCCTTCCATGCTGTTCCATAACGGGGGTAGCGGGGAGAAAGCGCAGTGGGTAAAAAGGCAGGAAGCACAGTTCCATACATTGCTACCTGGGCCACCTACAAGAGAAGTTGATTTCACCTGTTTTTCATTTCGAGCTTCTGTTCAAGCTTTCACTGAATCAAGTGCTCCACAGCTTAAAAAAAAAAAACTGTGAAGGTACAATGGCAAGTCTAGCAATGGAGAGAAGAGGGAACCTATTATAAGGAAGAGCCTTTTGGATCCTTTGGATTATGTGTGTCAGAAACCGTCCTGGGGGAGAGGAGTGGAGCTAACATAAAAACTCTTTGTAATTTACCTACATTGCTGCCCAAGACCTGAAAGAACCCCTAGATTATTCTCAGTTCCACTATAATGAAACTTGACTATAAAGATAAAAGTTAACTAAAAATATTAAATGACTCTCCCTTTAGACTCCTAATGGTTGTATGATATATACGAATATAACAATAAAATAATTTTTAAAGTTTTACATTAGCATTCACACTTCTAGAATCCTTTTCTCTCCATCACCAGTTCTGCCACGTGGCCCTGGTGCAGGGGAGCAGTTCAAATAAAGTTTTGATTATTCCATGAACTGTAATTCATGTATAACCATGGTTCAATAGTTTTTGAACTATTCTAGTTCAAAACACTTCGAGATGCAAATGATGCACAGGCTATTTGCAGAACCACTGTTCCCGTTAGGGTGGAAGAAAACTATCCTATCTTGACTCATAATCTTGAATAAATTTGCTTTTCATATTTATATAAAAGAGTGGGTTGGGGGATCCAATTCGCTAGTTCAGTGGCTGACTCCTGCGTTGGTTTCATCAGGATAGCACGATTTAAACTTATACCTGTGTGAGATAATGGATCTTGCATATTACAGAGCTTCAGGGTTGTCTTTGAATAAATGAAATTTAAAATATCAAATCCACAAATGTCAAATATGTGCTGGATTAAACTTCTAAAATTTGGGCCTAGGAAAAAATAGTAGCCCAAGTAGGTTGGCAGTAATATCAGTACAAGCCTGGAAGAGGCAAATTATATCACTATAGAAATGGCCTCATGGCTTTTCGGAGGGAGAAAGGAGAATTTCCACATCATCTGGTCAGGACTATCATTAGATTTAGTTTTATTAGAGATGGTAGTAGAGTGTGGTAAGAGAGGACATTACTGAGCAAAAAGAAGAAAGACTTTGGCCTTTTTATTGACCTAGGTGTTTATTCCCTTGTTTTATTCTTTTCCCTTTGTGATCATGGATCATCGCACAAGTGGTAATATTGTTCTATTATGGATACGTTAGACTGATATGCTTACACTTTTTTATAGGTAGCAAATTTTTTAAAAATCCCTTATTATAGTCACATAGCATGGCATTAGTAAGAAAAATGTCATATGAATTTCCCCAGTGTAATTTAGAAGCTGATTAATAGAATAGTTCAAATGTATTGAGCATTTACAATTTGCCAGGACCTATTCTAAGCACTTTACATACATGTACTCACTTGTTTTCAATACTCCATGAGATAGGTGCTCCCATTATCCCTATTTTAGAAAAATAACTTGCCCAAATCATGTAAATATTGAACACAGGCATTGTAAAAAGGAATCAGCTCCAGACTGTACCATCTTAGCAGGGGGCTGAGTAAGATAATTATTAATATTAGTGATGGCTGAAGCTGCACTATTCATGATTTTTGATATGAACCTATGTGAGTGACACAGGTAAGAGTTTATTATCAGAAAATTATGTAAAATTGATTTATGTTCAGATTATAAACGACCCCACTTTCTTCTACCCTGTAATCTCATTTTCTTCTCCTATTTTGATATAAATCATTGATATCCTCTCAGTCCTATAAGAAGTGCTTGCACAATGCATTTTTAGGACCTTCACCCGCTCAGGTAGATTGCGCTTTGTAGTATAAAGTTTGGTGCTACATCTGATTAGGTGAGCAAAAGCTTTGCTCATTGGAATACTTGCAGAAATTCAAGCAAGGGTAAGAAACTCAAAGCAAGCCTATATAAAAACAAAACAAAACAGAAAGTTCAAATATATGGGATATGGATCAATCAATAAAATTGGGCTATTTTGACAATTGACAAAAATTATTAACAGGAATTATTCATCTTTTAGGCAGAGATAGTTGCAAGTATACAGAATTGTTATAGTGATTGTTTTGACTGACATCGTTCCGTGCCAAGAAAGAATATCTGCAAAAGTTAGAACAGTGTTATCTTTTCAAATGTGATGTGGAAGCCAAAGGCAGGTTTAGGACTATTAAATTTTTCAAGCAAATAGAAAATGAGAATTAGATCATTTATATATTTATTTTTTACTTTTATATCATTAAGGGCTTGTGGTTATTTTCCTCTCTGAATTCCCTTCAATGCATAGCAGTAGGAAATAATATTTTCCTTTTATTTCATAAGTTTCTAAAACCAAATGCCCCATAGCCAGCTTAGTTTCATTTAAAAAAATGAACCATTAAATCATAACTCTGCTTATTGTAAAATATTTAAAATTTTTTTTCTGAATTCGTAATTCCCCTAATTCTTGGAAAAGGACTATAACAAATGTGTTGAGCCTTTTTTATTTAAGGTTATGGAAAAATAATTAACATCCACAAGCTTAATCATTCCAACTTGTATGGAGCATAAAAGCATAAGAACTATGTGAATCAAATTTCCCTCTTCTGTTTGGGTTTAAATCTCCGTATTATGTTAAAATGTATTTAATGCTTGAAAGCTTTGACCTTGCCTGGGATAGGAGCCAGTTCAATCTTTTCTTGGATAGAGTTAAGCCCAAGTCATATGATCAATAAATACAACAGGCATAGTAAATGTAGCAGGGCCTTTGTCTACAGGAAGGACACCACCGGATAGCATAGACCACACAATACTGGCGAATGAACTTTTCAAGTCCTTTTATGTCTCAAATCTTTTGAAAGCAACCACCTATTTTCTTGAACTTCCTTCATCAGTTAAGCATAGGCTTTGTATTTTTCTTCTGACTAGAAATAACAGGGTATTTTTTTTTGCTAGCATGAACCCAACTTAAGTGTGTATATATAATAAAAAGTAGCATGCTCAAAGATTAGTGATGCCAGTATTATTAACAAGAAGCTGGTAATTGTAATCATAAGGACAATTTATTGAACTTTTATATAGTTTGGTTTTGTACCTTCCATATTATTGATAATAAAGTATATGCAATGTTATATATAATAGTAAGCTATATTACAATATATGAGATATATACAGAGTATATAATACATAATATAAATACATGTTATCTCATATGTAAAATACATCTAACAGATAAGAGTAATGACAAAGCCTATTATGTGCCAAATACTCTTATAGAAACTCTATATGCATTAACTCCTTTAATCCTTACAAAAGATATGAGAACAGAGGTGGGATTTGAACACAGGTAATTTAGCACCCAAGTCCATGCCCCTAACCAGTGTGCCATTCAGCTCTATTGTGCCCGTATTCCACAAATGACAGCTGTTATCATTGCTGTTATTATTGAGTCCTAATAAGAATAATAAGTTGGATGTGGAGCATACATCCAACTTCTTAACTTCTTTGCATCTCAGCTTCCAATGCAGTAATCTGCCTGGGTAACTTCTATCTCCCCATGTAGTTCTGACTTTCTCTGGGTCTTTATCTAAGAAGTGCTCTCAGCACATCTTAACGTTTTCAAGTCACTGGAAACCTTTGTTCAAAAGGAAAATTGCCTTTTTCTAAAATTTGTGAGTGATTTTAAAACTTTAAGTGCATAGAATTTTAATAACCTAGGTAACAGTAATAAAAAAAAAACATGAAGAATAGTTTTCTCTACATACTCTGTGTTTATAAATATAGTTATTCCTTTCCCTGAGTATGTAAGTGGACTTTATAGCTTTGCAAACACAGTTTGGCAAACTTTCAGGCAGTCAATGTCCATTAGGAAATAAAAATCTGGAAGAGAATTCTGGATTAACCAGTCAAAGCAGGGTAAAATTTAATTAAGAAACAAATGACATTTGTTTCCTCTAGCAAAATGTTTTCTTGACATTTTCACTTACTCTTATTTAAGTTTCACCAGTAGAGTTCCACCTCGGCCACTTGTCTTGAATCACCACCTATGCCCTCTTTAAACTATGCCATCTGGATTTTATTCTCATAGGAATTCTGCAGTCTCTCTGCTCAAGGTCACTAATGGCTCCTTCATTTTAAATTTAAGTGTGTGTTTTCTTAATCTTTATTTATCTTGACTGTTCTGGAATATTTGATTAAGTTGATCACTTCCTCAACTCAAAATCCATCCCTAGCTTTCATTGAATTTCATTAATCAAGTTTTTCTATTTTATCTTTCCTTATTGCATCTCTATTCAACAAATATTCATTTAGTACCTGCTAAATGTACCAGGCTAGGCACTGCTCTAGGCACTGGGGACAGCAGTAAATAAAATGAAGTACCTTCCTACCTAAAAGTTACTGATGTATTTTATCTCCGTCAGTTGTTCACCAAAGCCCAGCCTTGAACCCTCCTCCCTCCCCCGCAACACACATCTCTTTCCACTTTTTTCTTTATTTCTTTAAATAATCCATCTCAATGCTATCAACTACTGCTTTCAAGCAGATTACTCCAATATAGTTTTTAATTAGTTAGACACAAGGTTTATATCGTGGATCCAGTGCTTGTTATTAATAATAACCATTGGTAAGTTGCTGAAATACTCTAAGCCTCCATTTTTTCATCTATAAAATGGAGAAAATAATCATACCTACATCATAGGGTTGTTGTGAGATAAGTTAGAAAAATACATGTAAAGTGTTTAAATTATCTGGCACTTAACAAGCATGCTAGTGTTAATGGCTATTTTTTTCTTATTTTCTTATCCATATTCCTATTCTTGGTCTACATCCAGTAGATCATCTCTAACTGATCAATAAACTCCCCCTTTTGGATGACTATGCTACCTCAAACTCTAGGTGTCCAAAACCATTATCATTTCTTTTCTCATACGTTAGCTCTCTTTCTTAAATTTCTTATTTAGGTCACTGTCTCTATCATTCTTCAGGTTACTGGAATTGAAAATTGTGGACGCCTACATCTCCTTAATCCTACAGGAGCAGTCACTATTGAAACTTTTAGATGTTTTGAGGACACAATTCATATTTTATTCATCACAATATCCCCAGTTGTAACACAGAATCAATGCCCAAAAATTCTAGTTGAGTGAAAAATAAGTATGTGAATTAGAATTAGAATTAAGGAGAACAAAAGACTAGCTAAAGGTTATGTTGAGGACAAAGAGCTACAGAAAGGTTAGAGGATTAGTGAGGAACTAATGAGTCAGGGAGGGGAATTTCAAATTTATAATCTTGGAGGTGAGTCGATTCCTAGGGTTGATGAAGACATACTGATGTGTGGCTGTTGTCAAATTAGAGGGAGAGCCCTCGGGAGAGCAGTTGCCTATTTTATATGCTCACAGAGAGGGACGTATCCCTTACTTCCTTTCACTCTGAGGAAGTACATGGACAATTTGTCCTTTGAATGACAGTTCTTGCCATTGTTTTCATACCCTTTAGCCATTTGTGCTCCAAATTTAATGCCTCAAGGAAAATTCTTGAGGTTTTTCCTTTAATCAAAACTTAGCTCTATGCCCACACAGCCTGCCTGCTGCTGTTGCATTATATCTACACCTTTAGCCAGCCTCCAAAATGCTTTTGTAGTCAATTGCCAGGGGAATGGTGTTTCTCATAGCTGGGCCCTTGAATAATCAAGCTGCCACATTCATGCTACATCAATTACAGTGATTGCTTTCCAAAGATAATCCCATTACAGATATCTTTCTCTCCTTGGGTGGACTCTGGGGTAAACGAATCAATTTCTAAATAAATACTATTGTATTTAGAATAATTGAAATAAGCATAATTCTTTGAAAGATTTGGATAACTTTTCCATGTGGGAAAGAAATGCTTCTCACAGTCAACAGGAATACAGTATGTCATGTTCTCTTCTTATGGTTCATGACGAAATTTCGACCAAATAATGTGTTCTCCATATGCTGAGGACCAAACTTTGCCTCTAATGTAATAGTGAACCGTCAAGAATAATTATTATAGTATGTAAGAGTATAGGAGTTAATATGCAATGAACTATGTAATAGCTAAATATGTGTGATTTTTTAAAAATTATCTTTCCAAAATCTTTATTATTATTATATTGCCATTTCAATTAATTAAAGATTTAAAAATTATGTTTTGGCAAGAACATGGTCTGTAATTTTGGAAACTTTAGTACCATTTTTAACACAAATGCCATTACCATTTAAGACAAACATTTTTTTAAAATTTTTTATAGTCTGAGACTGAGACAATTTTCAGTTGACTGATTTAGTTTTTTACAAATAATTTATGCACATTTGATGGAATTTAATCAGAAACAACTTGAGTACAAGAAAATATGACCAATAAGATGTCTAATTAACATTTTTCAATGTAGCAATTTTTATTCTTTTTATCTATAGGCCAATCCATCCTATTTCTATTTTGAAACATATCTGATATATGTTTCTTTAAAACAGACATAATTTTCACTTGACATTATTTTCCCTTTATCTGTCAGGTGTTTTGCAACATGGATCTTAATGGAGGAGGTTGGACTGTAATACAACATCGTGAAGATGGAAGTCTGGATTTCCAAAGAGGTTGGAAAGAATATAAAATGGTAAGATGGAAGAATTCATGTGGTTTTTGATGTTTTATCATGAAGTTATTTTCACCACACTACGTGAGAAACCGTTGTATTTTTAGGTGTTTTCAGTTGTTTTAAAAATAAAATGATACGTTAGTGACATTCTTTTCATTAAACACAAAGCACTCATAAATCATTTTGAGTAAATGATTCCCATGTGTGTATCAGAAAGAAAAATGTATTACTGAAATTATTTGGTGAACTGTTATGTATTGTCTGGATTTGTTCCTGGTTGAATGAGGGTGAGAGAAGCTAGAACTTAGACCCAGACTGGGTACATGAGGCAGGACAAGGGAGGTGTACAGTGCTGTGGGTTGTGGAACAGGATGGGTAGGTACTACCAATGGCCTCACTCACATGGCCAGCAAGTTGTTGCTGGCTGTTGACTGAGAGCTCCTCCATGTGGCTAGGTTGGGCTTCTCCAGTATGGTGATCCAGGGTCATCAGACTTCTTATGTGGCAGTTGGTATCCCTCAAGCACAAAAATGGTAGCTTCCAGGCCTTTCTAAGATTTATTAGACCAAGAAATGGCACAGTGTCACTTCCACTGCATTCTTTTGGTTAAAGTTGATGACAGGGCCAGTCCAGATTCAATGTGAGAGGAGTACACAAGGGTGTGAACTGTGAGGAATGATTCATTGGGGTCTCCAGAATAACAGCAGACATCATCATCATCATCATCACCATCATCATCATCATCATCATAGCTAACCCTTTCAATGCTTAATATGTGCCAGCTCTACATAAATTCTTATGTAATTTTTATATCAAACCTATTATCTAATACTGTCTCCATTTTAAAAGGAAACTGAGCAAGTTGGGAGAACAACTTTTCCAAGATGGTTTAAATAATCCACAATCAAATAACCACAGTCAGTGCCTACAGTATTCACTGTTAAAATCTGCTGACAAAATGTCAAGGCAAAGTAATAGAAAAGGATTTCCATTTATGGACTAATTCTCATCTTTTACATCTAAATCTTCTGGACAATTCTTGTCTTGAAAAATTTTTGACAAATTCCCCTCTCAGAAGATAAAGAAAAAGATGAAGAGAATATTGTACTAGCCTAAGTTCTGTCTTGATATTCTTGTAGAAAATGTGTAAAACTGTGGTTAGTCAACACCACAGTTTATCCACAGGTTCGTAGTTGGTCAAACGACAGTAAACAAAGGTTTTAATCAATAAAGGGAGGTCTCTAGTGGTGTCTCTGTGTCTACAATATTTTTATCAGATACACAATTGAGTACTCTGAAAGTAAGTTAATGTAGTTTGGAGTTACACAAAGTTGGAACCTTGATATCTTCAATAAACTGTCAACTCAAGATGGAAAGGTAGGCTAAAGCCAACAAGATAGAATTCTACAGAGATAAATGTAAAATCTTTCACCTAGATCAAAAATATGCAACATCAACTGTGAGAGTATAGGATTAAAAAATGTGACAAATTAGCTTAAGAATGTGGTATTTGAAAGATGGAGAAATCGACTTGGCTATAAGCTTATTTTGTGTTGTTCGTTACTAAAAACAAACACTGAAGTAGTCAGTCTACATTAATAGTAGTTTTTAGTTGCAAAAAATGCAGAACTCACTGGTGTCTGCCATGGTCTTGTTGCATGAAGAATATTCTGTCAATTCTGGAGGCTTGCCAACAAAGGAACTTATCCTAGAGGGTACAAGCAGGATGGGAGGAATCTGGAAACCATAGCGGGAGCATGTGAATAGTTAGGGCTCTAACCAGGAGAAAAAAAGAATTAGGCATAAACCTGATTCACTGTCATTTTAATTGACTGGATGGAGATATGTGGTACTGGAGCCTGCTACTCAAAGTGTGGTCCAGGGACCAGCAGTACCAGCATTGTCTGGGAGCTTATTAGAAATACAGAATCTCAAGCTCCACCTCGGACCTCCTGAATTAGAATCTGCATTTTAAGCCTGCTTTAAAGAAGAAAGCTCCATAATGAATGGAGGAACATTCCAGAGAGGCAAAATTTGACTAAGTATAAACAAAACTCTCTAGTTATTCTTTCCAACATGAATGGACTGCCTATTAAGTGATGAGGATCCCTCTTCAGAAGAAACACCCCAGTAGAAGTTAAATCACCATCTTTCAGGATTGTCATGAAGAATTGGAAGGTTGTTTGGATTCTGAGATCTCTTTCTGCCTATGTGGTTCTAAGAACATGTGGGAAAAAGAGTAATCTAAGTTCTAAAAGAGGACCTTGCATTATGTCTGCATTAATAGTTTGAGTCTTCATTCGTCCATTTACAAATGAAATGACTTTTGGCAAATCATTTAACCCATCATGCCTTAACTCTCTCACTTGTTCAAGGGGACATTGATAATAATACCTCACCTGCCTTGCGGGGATGTTGTGAGGATTAGATATAAGTAAAGCACTTGGCACACTGAATTTTTGATAAACAATAGTTATTACTATTATCCAAGATTAAAATCAAAGACTGCAAAATTTTTACTTGACTCTGCCAAAAATATTATTTTGCAAACCTCCTTAACTCATGATTATTTTCACTAAAATGAGATGTGAAGAAGTCGTCTGAGAAACAGACTATAAATATAGACTCAGGCAAATCTGAAACATATTACTATTAATAATAATAGAAAAATGAGTATAAAGTGTCATCATGGTGACTTTCCAAAATGGTGAGTTATTAGCTGTATGCATCTGCTGCCTTGGCAAACTAGTAAGAGAGACTGACATATGAAGTATAGCATTGATTTCATGTCTTATAAGTATTTACCAAATATGTATATTTTAAGCATTTTTTCACTATTAGAATGAGACTGAATTGTTCTCTAATCATGGCATTTGTGAAGTTTATGCGTCTCCCTTTTTTAAAATAGAAAGACTATCATGTTTTATTCAAACTAAAACAATTTATCAGCTGAGTATCAATTCTACCTGGCCAGAAAATGGGATGAGCTCCAAAATTCTGAAACATTTTGGCAAAAATGAGTCTGATGACTTTTTTGTTTTAATTAAAAAAATTCATCATATGTTGCAACTTGTTTAGCTTTTACCAAAACATGTGGTAGAAAGTGTTTCAGTCGTTTCCTCCAGAGCTTTTCTTTCACCTAAAGACAAAGTAACGTGACTCCACAAAGAATGGTGTAGATTCCTTATGCCAATTCTTATCAGTCACATCCACTTCTGCTTCCTGCATCAGAAGAACTGCTGCTAGGGTGTACATCCTTTGGGAAAACAAGAGCTTCTTGGCATGCACCACTTCCTCCTCAGTCTTCACTAGTCTACTATTATACACACTGAGACGCTTCACTTCTTTCTCAGGCACTGAGTATAGAAATAAAGTCTCGCCCCTCCTTTCTTTCTGCCTTTCATCTCTACTTCCCTTCACACGGGTTGATATCTATGGGCTGCCTCTTGCCTCATAAGGTTTCCAGAACAATATGTTAAAATTATCAACACAAGAAATTACAAATATATATTATATATTATAATTATTATTTTTAAACCTCTCTCAACATGGAAGATTTACATGTATTTGATTTTTAACATTGGCTTTAAGACTTCAAAAATCTTTTACCTGAGCACCTGAGCTTTGTTTTCGCTTAACCTCCCTTTAGGAGGAGATTCAGCAAAATCTAGTTTATGGATTTGTAAAGATGTTTGCCCAGAGGAAAGTCTGAAGTGGGCCTTTTTAATGAGGCACTTAGGGAACTATATGAACTCCTTCAAGCAGTGAGGATACCATTTAGGGGCCTCCAGCAATAACACTTATCAGCAGTGCTTTTGCATATAAAGCCCAGTCAAGCTAGGAGTTCCAAATAGTACCCTAGTGGCCCAACTTTATAGAAGGTAGTGACTAATGCCCTGGAGACAACCTGGCTTTGTGTTGAAAACAATTGCCCCCATAAACAGAGCTTCCTATTGACACAAATATTTCAGTCTGGGTACCATACCTTCTGAGAGGTCTTTGTTTCTGGAAAAAAAATTAAGAGCACATTTTCAACTGCATTTTAACATCTTCACGTTAAAAAGAGAAAAATAAGAAATAAAAGATGTTGAAATAAATCATTCTTTCCATCTTTCTTGTGCTGAGTGTGTCAGCAGTTAGAGGAGATGCGCGATTGAATTATGTGTTAAAGCACCTTTGGAAAGCCACAGCTCAGTAATGCTGACTTCTCATCTGTTTTCTTTAATCATTTGTATGAAAAGAGATGAAACCCATAAGATACATGGACTGTGTCTGGTTTCAATTGTGTTTCAGCTATAAAAAGTCAACACTTTCTATGAGCATTATCAGACAAAACAAATAAAGTATCAGAGACAATTATTTTATTAACTTGGAAAAATACAAACCAAAACTGAACATTTCTGTAGATTTTGGCAAAAACTAATGAATATTGGTCTTTCCTCTGTGTTCATTCTTTTAGCAAAATGTGGTTTTTAAGGCCTTTTTTAAGTAAGCATTAGTTTAGGTAAAATTCCAATGTCTCTTTTGCCTTTTATTAAAGAGCTAAGGGAGAAATAAAATTGGTTAACAATCTATCTGAATTATGATATCAAAATCTTTCATGTGACTGATTGACATAACTAAATGTATTTTTCATGAAAGGATATAGCATAGCATCCTTGGATTTTATTTATGAATAAATTCTATTTTTATTACTGTTGTTTATTCATTCAATAAGGACTTGCTGATTTTTCAGTATCTGCACTGAATTTTGTATAAGCATTTTTTGTTTTTATGGATGTTGCAGGCTATTTGGAGTAAAATATAGACCTATGGTAAGCTGATATGTGTGCAATAATGTGTAAACCTATCTTTTTTTTTTTTTGGATGTGCATTGGCTATCTCTTTATTTCAGGCATGAAAATGAAATTTTTTTCAAGGAAAGTTCCATAATGCATAATCAAAACTTGCCTCCTAATATGGAGTTCAATATGAAGATGAGGTTTTATGCTTGTATTTTCCCCCTGTACCACTCAGATAATTTGATCTGGGTAATATGTTCTTTCTCATTTGCACTTGGAATAGCTATTCCGCATCATAATTATATGATTCTCCACCTTTGCTACACAACAGATTCACTTGTGGAAACTTTTGAGTGTACGGATCTCTAAGCCCACCTCAGGCATACTGAGTCAGAACCTCCATGCAAGACCCAAGTCATGTATTTTTTAAAAAGCTTCACAGCTGTTTCTGATATGCACTCCCAGTTGAAAGCAACAGTCAGAACTATCAATTTATTAGCATAGGTTTAAGATATCAAAACTTGCCTCTTTTGTAGAACCTAAAACTTATGAGGTGTAGAGAGAAAGGGATTAAAAGAAATAGGACCAAGGGAGAGTTGAAGGAGACCACTTCTCTTTAGCAGTAGGAAGCAGAAGTAAGAATAAGAAAGTAGTTTATGTTTTGGTTTATGTCATAGTTTGCCCCAATTGCAACCAGTTGGTTTTAATTTCTTATTTAATAATTAACTTCTTTTAATTATTTATTTAATATTTAAGAATAATTAATTATTTAATAATTATTAATTAATAGTTAACTTGCATTAAAATGACAGTACTCATTTGTATAAACCAGCACTCAACTTTTCCTAAGAATACATTGGTTCTTAGCATCTGAAAGCCTTTTACATAATTGTTTCAGTATCTGCTTATTAATTTTCAGGCTAAGACAAGATCCTGGATTATTTTTGTTCCCTTTCTCAGAGTATAAAGGAACCTGCTTACCCTCAAATAGCTCATAGTCTCGCGGGAGAGAGGCAAGTGAACAGAAAATTACTATGTATTGTGATATAGCCTCCAACAATAATAACAACAGCTAGATTTCTAAGTGCTTCTAATGAATCAGCAGTGAGCTAAATGCTTTAGGTGTATTAGTTCTTTCTCACAACACTGTATATGGAAATGACATTTTTAATCCCTGTTTTGCACATAAGAAAACCAAGGCTCAGAAGTAATGTTGGAGGTTCCACAACAAATATGTGGCAGAACCAGGCTTCAAATTGGAGCAGAAGTAGGGAGTAGAAGTTATTTAATCAAAGCCAAGCCTTTGTTCCGAGGCATCAGATTTGTGGTCAGCCTGATAAACTATCCGATAGACAGTTTACTAATGTGGGAACCCCATTTCCCCTTCTTTCACTTATTTTTCATCTTTATGATGAAACAGTTTTTTCTGCATCACTGCACGTAGCTATTAGAAGGTTTCCTCCCTACACTATTGAACAGCCGTTTTGATTCATTGTAGCTGCAAGAGAGCATATTTAGATAGTTTTTTGGGAAGGTGCATCAAATAGAATTTTGGTTTCTAAAAGCAAATTTAGTTGCTTCCTTTTTAGTTGCTTCTTCCTCTGTTTTCAATGAGAACAAACAAACTGTTTAGAAACAGATGTTAATCTCCACTTAGAGGGAGGTACAAGCCTGCATGCCAAGATGGGAATGGAGGATCTTGCAGAAATGACACTAATGCTTGTCCATTTCTGAGGCTCACTGGCGATCACTGCATTTATCCCTGGGGGAGCTGGAGAGTTTTATCCATGCAGCTCTCTCAACAGCATGAAACTATGTGACCTAAAACTTAACACTTCATCATTCGTAGCCTCCTTATTCACATTTAATGTAATTGCTGAATCCTTTCTAACTGACAACACAAAAGAGAGGATCGTCAGGTGGTTAGAGGGAGAGTTTTGACATATCTGAACTGAAAAGAAGTGCAAGGAAAATCCCAGCAGTCTTTGATTTCTTCCCAGTGGCTGCTGCCACTGAGAATGTGCTAATTTAACTTTCAATCCCCTGTAACTTTCTTTTTTTGCTTATTCATTGTAGAAGGTAAGCTGCACTCTTCTCCCTGGTATGTAGCACCGGCTGCCATAAGAATGTGTAAAATTCTTAGCACATCCTAAATTGCTCTACTATTTCCTGCCAACTGTGGAACTTTTGCAGAGTGTGACTTGAGCATCTTAGGAACAGAGAAGAAAGTACTGTCTTTGTAGTAGTGACTTCAATGGGTCCTATATCTTTGCTCTGAACTACAGGTAGCTCAGCCTTCAGAGGGGTGCAATCTGGACAAAGGGTGTTAAGTTAATCAAAAACTAAGTTAATTTGGGGAATAACTTTAAAAATGTGCCTACATATATTAATACATTTCATTTTAACATTAAATATTAAAATATACGTTTATTTACCCATTTTTTAAAATATAGAGCCAAAGCCTGAAATTCTGGGTTAGTGGTTCTTTCGTAAAACTTTCCCACAACGATGCATTTGCATCAAATTTCTAGCTTCCATTTTTTTAAACTAGAGCAAGTAAGACACATGCTAAGCAATTTAAGTTAAAAATCCCCTATCATTTTATTGTTTTTCCCAGTCTTTTAGAGTTGTTACAACAACACATAATTCAAGTGTTTTTTTAGTGATTTGCTTTTGAGAAAACTTAGATATTTAAATTAGGTTTTATAAAAAAACAAAACAAACACCCCTCTTTCCCCACTAATATTTAACTTACATAATATTATAAGTCTAATTATTATAATAACTTCACATACGGGTTTGGGACCAAACACAACTGGCCTTTGGTAAGTAACTCAATTGGCAGAGAGAGGAGTGCACAAATATATTTAATGTTTTTGATATACCCTGGGCATTAATATATTTTAAAGAAGGAATGGAGAACACTGATTCATGTGTTAAAGTTGGGTAAAGGAGAAAGCAGTTAAGAATACTTCTACTGTATTTATAATTCTGTAAAGTTGATATGCATTAAATTTGAAAGGAAACAAAAGTTTTCCAAATTCTATCATCTGTGTTGAGAAAATAAGGATTGCTGTGATTATCTTAGTACTTTCCTTATATGTCTTCTTAACATAGATAAAATGAAACCTTTTTTAATGAATACCTCAATTAACCAGAATCTGTTTCCTTCTGAAACACCAGAGTATATCCTGTGATTACTGGAGGTGTGTCTTCCAAATATTAACGTGCACAGGACAAGTGGGGAGCTTGTTCAGAGGCAGGTTCATGGGGCTGGCTCTCAGATATTTTGATTCAGTGTGGAGCTAGGAATTTGTATTTTTCAACCAGAACTCTAGTGATTATGATTCACTTGGGCACTGTAAGAAACACTTTCCTGAGACTCAACCAGCTTACCTACAACAAAGAATTATGTTTCAAGGTTACTTCTCTGAATCTCATTGCTGTACTATAGTGTTTTGCGTCCTTCTCACCTTCCTCTCTTCCTTCCTTCCTTTCTTCCTTTCTCTTTGAACTTCAATATAACATATGGAGTGCCCAGTGTATGCCAACATTCCACTAGTCTTTGAGGATTCACAAATACAACACAGCATCTGTCCTCAAGGAGCTCATAGTCTCTTCAGAAAGACAAACATATAGATCAAGAATTACATTGAACTTGAAGCATTCCCAGGGAATACTTTCTGAAGCAATTGAGAATACCCAAAATCTAGAATACCAGCACTTTCTTAGGGTTCTTTATTTTCCTATCACTAACATCACCAACATTAAGAGTTCGCTTCCTTTGGGGGACCACTTTTTTTTTTCCCACAAAGAAACTATTTTGAACACTTAACACCCATGACCGAGATTGCCCTAAAGAGAACGGAGGCATATTGAGATCAGGTGCAGAGCAGCTGGCTAGGTTCACTCACTAGCTCTTACTTATCATCTTTCTGCCTCGAAATTCAAATCCACTTCAGTAAAGCATTTAAATGATTATAGTCCTGGATTTACAGGTTTGCTTATTAATATTTAAAAATGAGAATGTTAAAGCTAGACATTCAAGGGTCTAGTATTTTGTTTAAATTATTATGTGAGCATAATTTGACTCCAAAATAACAATAACAGAACAATAATAATATTGCTAAATAACTTGTCCGATACTACCCTGTTAGTATCCATTGAAAAATGTGGAAATTTTTCATTGTTCAAAATATTCCATTAACTAGTACTTTAGAAACATTTTCAAAAGCAAGCTGTGATTGAGAAGCGTTTACTGGTTAAACCTATTAATAAGATTCATTTAATCCAAAAACATCTCATCCACACAGATTTGAATATCTGGTTTTACTATAATAAGAATTAGATATAAGCCTCAATGGAAGGAAACACAGCAGAAAAGTATTGATTAAGTAATTGAAAAAGAGTGTGTAAAAATGTGAAAGAAACATCTTTACTTTGAAAGAATGTTTTATTACTATTTACAACATGGTTAAATACTGATCAGGAAAAGAGCTTCTCTCTGAAGTAACTGCATCTCTATCTTCTTTGACAGGGTTTTGGAAATCCCTCTGGTGAATATTGGCTGGGGAATGAATTTATTTTTGCTATAACCAGTCAGAGGCAGTACACACTAAGAATCGAGTTAATGGACTGGGAAGGAAACCGAGCCTATTCCCAGTACGACAGATTCCACATAGGAAATGAAAAGCAAAACTACAGGTAAGTCCTTCTTCTGTGTAGTGGTCGACTACCTTGGGTCTAGCCACTTAATAGTTTTAGTGGGAAAATGTGAAAAAAAGAAATGATGAAAGTCATCCTTCAAAATGAATATCAGGTTGTTTGTCTAGGTCTATGACAAAGAGATACAAAAAACCCTATAGAGACTCCTTAAAAACTTTAAATTTCAATTTTCACAGACATTGTCTTGATGTTGGTTCAAATTCCAGGTGATAGGGAATTAAGTCAAGCACCATATTATTGTTATGCAAGTGCAGTGAATTCATACATATAAAACTAATGACAGAGAATTGACTCAAATTCAACGACTTGAAATAAAAACTCCCTTCCTTCTATCAAAAGATTTTCTACTTATACTTTCTTTATTTACCTTTGTTAAATTACTGTTTTTTCACATCTTGAAGGTGACAAAAGAGGAGTAAAATTTTGTTTTTGAATGATTTACATAAAAGGTAAGGTGAGGCATAATTTAGAATTTTTTGGTAAATAAGGTAAAAGGCAAAAACAAACCCAAATAATGGCATTGATATACACCATACATCATTGCAGATGTAAAAATAGACAAACTATACACTTAATTGTTAACATCTCTAATTTTTTTCCAATGAGCATCTTGCACACTAGAAAAAGAAACATTAAAAAATGACTAAGCAAGTAACGCAGTGTAGTAAATTCATTTCACAAGCACTTATTTTGTTACTTCTATGTTCCAGGAACCCTACTATACACCTACAATTTTGCAGTCAGTGACGAAATCTCTAGTTTCCCAGACCTCACAGTCTAGCTTGGTTATTAACTAGGTCACTAAACAACTGATTGGCATTCCTTGAGAACAGGGAATATATTTCAGTTACTTTTATATCACTGCTCGTTAATGCAATACCTGGCACATAGCAGGTACTTAATAATTGTGTATGTGCCTCAGTTTGGTAATCAGCAAATTAGAGTTGCAGTGATTTTAAGCTCTCGATATTGTGGCTACTCTACATCAGTCATGGAAAACAATTGTGTGCATTAGAGGGTTGGCACATTGCTTCCAGCAAAATGCAATGACAGCAACCAAGGCTTCTGTTTTTTTCCAGCCTGTGTGGCCACGTCCTCATAGTTCAACTGTTTCTGCTGCTTGTTTGTCTTTTTGAGACACACCGCTCTGTAGGAGTTTGAATCTACAACTTTTTCATGAACACGTATCATTTTATTTTAATGGATTATGTATGGGATTGGATCCTTGGAGACATAATAATCATTTTCTTAGCAAACAGTGATGAGGTCACCACAACAAAGGATGAGAAATAGATCTAAAGAGTTGATAGTCCCATGGGGGGCAGTGAGAGTGTACCTAATGGCAACTCAAGAAACCAAAGAAGAGACATTTATAAAATGCGATGGAGTGTAAGAAGAAGTGTTTCCAAAGAGGTCAATATTTTGAGAATTTTATAACAAGAAAAACCACTATAAAACATCAGGAGTACTCTTATGTAAATGTTTTGACCCGAAACCTGAAACTATATGAAACTTGGCCGATGTTAGACAGCCTGACAATAGGACTAGCAAATAATCAGTCTAGTTCTCTTCTAGGCTCCTGAAGAATTTGCTTTGGTTCCTTTTCAAAATGTCTCTCAGTCCTTGTGTGTGTTTGTGTGTGTGTGGTGTGTGTGCGTGTGTGTGCATGCACACACACGCACACACAGGTCCTTGCAAGGCTGGAGTGGTAAGAAGAGGACAGTGTTTGGGCAGGCTTAGGAGGATTGTGGGCATCCGAAGTAGGCTTGAGGGTGCATGGTATGAATGTTATTCTGGCATTGGCAGAGCATTTACCTCCTCTTAGAGTGCCCTACTGCCCTCATTGAGCGTTTCCCATTCCTTCAATAACGTTTTGATTTTGATCTTCACCCATATGATGCAGATCTATGAGCAAAAAGTAAGTCTTCCTAGCTAGAGTGAGGTGTACACTCTGGGATCCCCATTTTTCTTTCTTGAGAGAATTGTGAACCCTGAGAATCAGAATTATAAATCCAGAAGGAACTTAATAATTTAATTCCAAACCCATGGTTTTAAAGAAAAGAAAGCTGAGGTCCAGAAATATGCGATATTTTGCCCAAAGAGGGAGAAAGACTTCAATATGGGTTGTTTGATGCCTACCTAGTTAGGTGTGGTTTCCACTCTGTAATGCTGCTGTAATAAAGTTGGTAGCTCTGACCCTCTCTCCTGCCAAGACCGAGTAGCAAATAGATCTATAATCATCACCTTCTCATGCAATTAAGTATTAGGATTCACACTGGCATCAAATGGGAAATTAGAACTCGTTAAAACATAATGCCTGTTCTGGTGAAAGCTTAGTTAAAATAATCACACTATAAAATGGTGTTATTCACTCCCTCAAAGAAAATCAAACGGAAACTTGAAAAGGGAAGCTACACCCTCGTGACTTCCCTCTTCACCTGTAGCATCACTCACTCCTCCCCAGCGCTGATTCTCCAGGCCCAGCGTCGGCACATGTAGCCTGAAGTTAGAACTCCAGGTGTCCAGCTTTGCCTTCGTGTGTTCTTCTTCCACTCATTTCTCTTCCCTCTGAATTAGGATGCCTTGTTTTGATAAATTATTAAAAGTGTTAATGCTAAAATTTGTATAGTATTGCATAATTTATGAAGTGATTTTTAATACTTTAATCATTTAATCCTTACAATGACTTTTTGAGGTAGGTATTATGAGATACATTTTAAAGATGAAGAAACTGAGGCTTTGGTCCACTGACCTGCTCAAATTCAACCAAATTCCAACTAAAATCAAAACTATGGAATTCATGCTAGGTTTTTTAAAATTATTTTTTACATTTTCTGTATTTTTTCTCCTTTCAAATTAAATTCAGAGGTTGTTTAAGCCTTTTTAAAAATATTCTATCTTCATAGAAATTGCATTTTGAAAACTCTTGTAATAGCTGTGACTATAATGTATAAATCTAATTTTTTTTTAAAAAACATCTTTTTCATACTCTAGACACATATTGATTAAAAGTAAGTGTTGTGAATGGATAGATGAGCTTTCAAATGTGCATGTAATGCACATATTTTTCTTTTATCCTCTAAGGAAATTCCAAATGATTTTCTCAGATAGAAAATAAAATCTTGAGAACCCGGGAGAATATAAATACGAAGAAAACAATAATGTGAGAGTGTCATGATAAACACGTCATGTGAAATAACACACAATCAATGTGACATTATTAAATACTTCCTCTAGAGAGGTAGTATTATCCAGATCCTCATCATCTAACACTCAGACTATTATACAGCCTTCTTGCCTCCAGTCTTGATGCTCTCAAGTATATCTTCCACACTATTGTTGGGATGGTTTTTCTAAAAGACAATCTGTCTTGGTCTCTGCCCTCCCTCATCTATTTCAATAGCATTCAAATATCTACAGCTTACAGTCTGCCACTTAAAACCCTTCATGGCCTGGCCCTACCTACTTATTCAGCTATCATACTCTCCCCAAACCTCGCCCAACTAGATACCCCCTCTTTTATGATTATGTTCCAGAAACTACTTGCAATTTCCCTAAACCTTCCATCCCTTTGTTTATGCTATATCCTTACCTCACACACATAAACCCAACTTTGGATACGTCTTTTAAATCCTGAAGTTTCTCCTTTATCCCAGGAAGTCTTCCCTTACACCTACTATGGTATATGCCGTGATGCACCCATCCACAGCTTTCCTTCAGAACTGAAGCACTCGTTCTCCCACCTCCTGGCAATGTTGTTGGCTAACACCTTGTAGCCAAGGTCCCCTGCCTGGGCATTGCCTGTGGCTGAAGAAAGTCACATCACCCAGGGTCACTGCTCCTTCCTGCAGACAGATTGCATCCAATGACTGGTCAACATAGGAGTATATAAATTACACTTTGCCCCAGTTTGGGACAATTCTGAAGGGCCATCCAACGTCCAGAATTCCACTTGAGCTTAGCTGAGATCTTCACTGTGGACTGCATGTGAGCCAAACTTCTCCCTCTGCTCAGTAACACTTTCTTCACAGTGCCACAGGGATTGATCCTAAGAGCACTGTCTAGAAATCTCCCTACACTGATTTCCCAGAGAAATGCATTACCCTCACTCTCAGGCCAATTTGGATGCTTTGTGCTCCCATAGATACATAACAGTCTCTGGATAACTCTCCGGTATCCACATTCTACTATAAGTCACTAACAAGTATTATTAAATAATTGTGTGTGGACCTTTCCCACTAATTTCTAAGCTTCTAGAGTATAGAAACTATTTTTATCAAAATTTAAGATATATACCTAAGTTAGCCAAATTATTAATAATAGTTAATAGTTAATATTTGGGGAATACATGCTATGCACCAGACACCTTATTTTCACATGAAAAAAATGAGTTGTGGTGCTGTGCACAAGATCACAGGTACTAATGTGAGTAGAAGTCAATATCTGAGCTTTGATCTCATAACTGCCCCCCATATGGCCATCCCTTAATAAAGGGAAATCCATCAGTTAATTTCTAGAATTAAATAAACTCAAAGAACATATTCTAAGAGATAAAATACGTGTCTTCTAATCCCATTTCCATCTTTAATAATCTGAATGTCCATGGACACATTATCTCATCTCTCTGGTTCTCAATTTTCTGTCCTTTAAATTAAAGTATTTGTAAAACTCTTTGCAGCCAAAAAATTATTTTCTAAAACACGATTACCTTTATGTATACATTTCTTTTTTATTTAGTGGCCCTTTAATTCTTTGATAAATGATTACATTTTGATCTCTCTAGTAAACACTTCAGTAAGAGTTTCCTTCAGTTTAGTGCTTACAGTGACCTTTTACTTCTCATGAAACATTTGCTGGTCCCAATACTTAGAGTTAAAAAACAAATACACAACCACCACCACAACAACAAATGCTTAAAAGTAATAATAGATTATGTGGGGTTGGGGAGATGCTATAATCTATGGGAAAGAGCTCTAGAA